ATCTAAATTAGCCAAATAATCTAATATAACGTGTCATGTAGGAGAGAGTGTGCAACACAAACAGAATTATTAAATTCTATCCTATTTGACCTCATTTCAGTTCACCTTATTTGAAAAGAATAGAGAAATTGAGAGGAGGGGAATATTTTGATCAATTAAATTACAATATTTATAAATATTATAATTCGATTGGTCAAAAAATCCTCCATCATCTCCCCTCCCCTCCATTCACCTCAAATGAAACACAAAATACATTGATGACCCTACTTGCAAATTAGGTATAAGTAGGTAATCTTATCCTACACTTCTGCATATTTCAAACTAAGCATAGGAGATGGCCAAAAAAACCCTAATCATAGGAAAGTTGGCCAAAAGAGAACTAAAGTAAAGAATTTAGTGAAATAACTAAATAAACAATAACCGGTTAGAATCCCAAGTGAAATTAACGTGTCTGGAGCAGACTTCAGTGGAGCAGCAAAATTATTTTTAAGGTTGCATACTAACATAAGTTACAAACATCGATTGCTACATGGATTTCGCGAGTTCGCGAAATACAGTTATGGACCTATTTCACAAATTTCAAACAAATAAATCTTCTCCCTTAACCTACAATCTAACAAAAACATGAAATTGACAAAAGAAAAAGAAAAAAATTGGGCTGTAAGGGGTTTCACGAAGAGACCCAAAGGGAAGAAAAGAAAAGTTTGAAACGTGTCTGAAAATTTTGCCGGTTGCCATCAACTGCATCCAAAAAAGTGCTCCAAGGATGGAGAGCTGAACACATTTGCAGCACTCCGTTCAGGTCTGACAGGAGAAATGTGAAGCTGAAATTTGATGAACCTCTGCAGAAAGGGGTAAAAGAACATCAAAATCATATAGTTAACACGGTACCAATATTACAGATCAATATCAAAACATTGGGAATGCAATTGCAGAACACTATCTAGGAAATTATGGCAAGAATGAAAATCATACTGCTAACTGGGAAACAATTTCAGGATTTGTGTCAATATGCCAGTCTGGTTCTAGTTGACGAACAAAAGATGTCCGCCCATTCTCCGTGCTACAAAAGAGAACCTGCAGATTCATTTTGCATACAATAAGGCAAATACCACATGTAAAGAAAAGAAGAAACAAAGAAAAGAACAGTGAATGAAGACTAAAAATAACAGCAGAATAAACCATATTTCTGCAGCCAGCACAAAACTGGAGCTGCTGCCATTTCTACTTCTTCTTTTTTTTTTTCTTGGTCAACACTGCCATTACTACTTCAGTCACTCAAATTCATTTCAGAATATACAAAGGCTTTCTTTTGTCCAAGGTTCTTATTAAAATCACCCAAATACATCTGAATCTGATGTGTTAACCACTTTTCAAATAAATGCCCTCAGGTTTTCAAGTGATAAAAAAAATAGAAAACGACGTCACGTTAAGCATCACTTACCAAAATAGACCAAAAACTCTCTTCAAAGTTTAGGGTCCTAAAGTTCATGTTCAAAAAAAGTTTTAAGTTTTAGAGCTAACATTTTCAAAAATCAAAATATGAAGCCCAGTTGGAAAATAGTAATAACAATAATAATAACCTAACACATTAAACAGTTAAGTTCTGCTAAATACATAACCGTCAAATTCTATATGTTCTAGCAAAACATGATTCTCAAGAATTCTTTTGAACTAATGAACAGCTTTCAACAATAGCCAAGAATCTAGGGGTCTCACATTTATTCATTCCCACACAAGAAAAAGATACAACTATTTTCTTTTAATCTCAACCATTTTTTGAAATAATAAAATTTGTATATAAGCTTAGGTCCCACCATTATTTACCTTGTCTTTGACCAAACCACCAGCTGTGAATATCCCTGCATTTTCCAAGGCAAGAAGAATGTTTTTCTGCACAAAGCACAACAATCATACTGAAGCATTATTGCAGGCCAAGTAGTAATGAAAGATCCACTATATGCAATCAAAAGTAGATGACAGAATTCGAATGCAGGGAGAAGAAAAAACAGGTCAAAAGAAGGCTCTTAAATTGGAAGCTAAATTAGAACTCAATGTTCAATGAAGTGAGAATGCAGATTAAGAAGAGAACATGCAGAGAAAATCTCAGCCTTTAAGTCACTAAGAAGTAAGAACATAAGATCTGATTATCAGAGCTATATAGCACGTAACATATTAGAAGACATGTTTAACAAGAATTTATAGCATAGATAAATAGTAATAAAAAATTGTATAACAAGGTTTCTACAATTCTACTCACCTCACTTTCATCTTTAAAAACTCTTTCCATGAGATAAAGATCACAAAATTTGGTAATTTCCAACAGCACTTCCAATGCAGAAGACCTGACAGTTGCTTGTTTCTATCCAGAATGAAAATAAATAAATAAATAAAGTTAATTCTTTTCATATTTCTATGACAAATACAAAACTTACAGAAAAGAATTAGCACCTGCAGCTCCTCTGGACTGCTTTCCTCAAGGACCACTCCAAGCAAACGGCATGTTATCTACAAAAGACAAGTTATCAAAGCATGAAATCATTGAGGGATGACCAAAACTATTGGATTCATGGCTTTGCAGAAAAACATAAGCCATTACACACTGATAAATCCAACCTAGTCAAAACACTCTTGATAAAATTAATCATGAAAGCATCAGACTGGGTGCATTTCTTAGGTGCAGACATGACATAATTCAAGTGAGTGAATTACATGATTTACTAAATCAACTCATTTGAAAGGAAAAGTGATCCTGATTGTTACTGGTCCTTGGCATTACATTAACATCTTTTTAGCCTCACCACGCATCCAGCACCAAGTTAATTACTTGGATGGAAAAAATAAGCACCAGAAAAATTAGATATTTAGAAACTTCACCAAAGCAGTAATTTAAGTTTTAAGGCCAAAATGGGGCTCTGTTTTCAGAACCAATTAAAAAAAAAAAAAAAAAGGCCACCTTAGTCCCATCAACTATTCAGTGAACAGACAAAATAAAGTAATCGAAACATTTGACCTGTTGTCAGCAACAAAAGTGGGTCCAATTAAGCCTAAAATACTATATACAGAATGGCACTCAAACAGAATCAAGGCACCAGTGACTTGAAGTACAAAAGCCAATAAGTAACTAAGCTTCACTGATCTACTAACATATAAAGTAAGTTGTCCAAAAGAATTGCTTACTTCAAAAGACACTACAACTTTTGTTAAGACTAAGACTTGAAATAATGAAAATGTGAACAACTTCTGAGAATCCACCACCAACATATATTGAACCCCAAATATGTTTCTTGAAGCATCAATGAACTTAGTTAACTTACCTTTCTTCCTTCACTCAATTTCTGCCTAACTATTTGCCTCAAAGTTGGCTGCAAAAGAAAAAGGAAAATTGTAAGTTAAAAAAAAAATAAATAAATAAAACAAAATAAAGAAATAAGATTTGCCCAATGAAAAGACAAACACATACCTTTACAGGCTGTAAGAACTCATCAACAACATTTTGTGCTCTTAAATCCTCCAAAGATGAACAAAATGCAGAAGGCATCAAGGTCATATTTGATTGGGTACTGACTCCAGAACTACTAGTTGTTGGAGCTTGTCGTTTCAGTTGCCTTCTTTGAGGTTCCCCAGGTGATTGCATTAGCCTATAGGTAAATACTATTGCAACAGCAAGCCCTGCTACAGCCCCTACAGATCGTGGATCCTGTGGCAACACCAATTTGGTCAAATTCGTCAATATCAATGACACGAGCTTTTGATTTTTTTGGTTTACATTTCAAACCCACATAGCAGATAAGGTACTGCCTATGAAAATGGAAACAAAAGGAAAGAGTTCATCAACTTTGTAAGACTCCAAATGTCTGCCCTAAGAAAATATTTTCTTACCTTTATTTTTCTCTCCTTTCAAAAAAAAAAAAAAAAGGGTACTCAATAGTACATACGTACAAGAAAAATGCCTTCCTAGAAATGTATACATTATTTTAGTCAAACAACAATAAAATGGAAAATTCTGAAAACTACTTCACTTTCCAATAGAGGAAGTAATTTACAGGAAAAGTGAATCCTTTATATATATAATTTCTAAGGATCTTGCTTGAGTCATGCTAGCTATAATTTTCAGGAAATTATTTTCCATGAACCAAACAGCATAATTGCATCAACAAATTTTCAGGATAAAGAGAAAAACATTCTAATTCACACCAAAGAAATAGTCCAGAGCTCCCTACTTAAATTCAGTTATTATAAATCAACAATTAAAATGAGAAGAAAAGGCAGGCGCATTTCTCAGGCGCATTTCTCAGGTTAAAAAAAAATGTCATTCTAATTCGTACCAGAGAAATAGTCCTGAACACCCTACTTAAATTTAGTAATTATAAAATTAACAATTAAATTCAGCAGAAAAAGAAGATGGTCAAATTCGAATTTAAGATCGAAAAAAAAATCAACTTAAATTTCCTTATGGTATAATCACAACCACCAATTTAATATGGAATACAATCACACCAAATTAACTCATACCAAATCCAGAAAAAAAAATTAAATTAAAAAAAAAAAAACCACTGGCAAATCAGAGGGTAAAATGAGCAAAATTTCTATTTCTATTATAAAAGCGCATCAGATCGACCATCAAATCCGTGAAATTCATGAAAACAACAGAAATAGAAGAAGCTAAAGAAAGAGCAACTGACCAGTTTATTGAGAGAGATCGGAAAGAGATTGGACATCTTGAGGGCGAGATACGTCCCAAGGCGCTTGATTAGGCGAATCAGCTCCTCCTTGTACGAAGATGACGACTCTGCCATGTCCTCCACACTCAATTTACACGCCGTTTAATTGAGTAAAGCTAGCGCGAGTCCCTTCTGCGTGCCCCCGGAGAATGCTTCTTAGATTCTCCTGTGCTCCGTCGGATTAACAATTTCAGGTTAGGTATGGCTCTTTGTTTAATGGAGAGAGAAAGGTCGTAGTAACTCCGATGTCAGAGACGGAGTTACGAATATGATCAATCATTCGACGTGGTTTGTCCCTTTTTTTTAACTAGATAATACCCGTGCTACGCACGGGAACTTTACAAAGAAGTAGTAATTTATATTTTAAATTTTTATAAATATTATTTTTATGTAAAATATTATTTACTTTTGAAAATTAATTATAATAGGAAATATTATATGCAATTTTACAGTTTTCTAACACATATATAGGTTTTTTAACAAAAGATGATCGCAGAATAATTTGTGTATAAATTTATATTTTATTTTTATTTAAAATGTAATGTACATTTTTATTCAATTAAAAAATATATAACATCAAAAAAATTCACTTTATATAATTAAGAGAGATCTATAACATTGAAAATTAAAAAAAGAAACAATTTAAGCATTTTAAATAAAAATGAGAAATATTAAATTCTTAAGAAGTGAAAAAATAATAAATTAGATTTAAACATTTCTCCTTATTCCAAAAATTGTAATTATTTAAAATAAAAAATTATATTACAAAAAAAGAGAGTACATTATGGGATTTGAGAGTGAACCCTACCCCAAGTACATCAACAGACAAAATGTAAGTTTTAAAAAATAACCCATAACAAAAGTGGAAGGAAAGGGACATCCCATCTTGGCAAGCTGATTAGCACACATATTATCCTCTTTAACAATGTGTTGCAATTGAGCTTGAGCAAAATGACTCACAAATTTTTTGTTATTCAAGATCAAAGTACTTAATGAATGGGAATTAGAAACATTGGCAAATAGTAATTGAATGGTACAAAAATGGGGTACTTAATGATAATCTTTGAAAACACCCTAGCAACAACTAGTTAGAGGCCATCTTGTATAGTATAATGCACAACACTTAAGCTATTAATAATGCCTATATGCCTGGAATACCCCATAATCTAATTGCCATTACAATCCCTAAATATCCCTCTTGCAATAGCAAGTCAGGGTATGCCTAAAGCAGCACCATCAATATTAAGTTTAACAAAATTAGCAAAATTTAGAAGTTTGACACAAGAGTTAAGCTTCCACATTACTTTTTCAATATATTACTGTATTGTAACGATACCTACAGTTTCCTTCTTAAGTGCAATCTCATGAATTTAAACAAACAAATAAAAACAAACTTATATTAGAACCTCTATAATTATGCTTTCTTATTAGAGAAGAAATAACAAAAAAAGTTTCAATTTGGGCAAAATAATTAAATATAAGAAATAAAAGAGAATGAAATCCATACCTATATGTTAAAATTTTAGAAATTGGCAAACATAGCAAAATGAATTTCAAATATACTCAAAAACAAAATCAAATCAAGTCTTATCAAGTCTTATTATATGTATAGATTTCTAAAGCCAACTTGTCTACCAATTTAACTATTTATTATTAGTAAAAGTTAGTAAAAGGCTATTACATTAGATGTAGGATTATGCCTTTGATATAGTCCATCAAAATTGATGGGCAATAGTTTTGAAGAGGTGAGATGAATCCTATAAAGCTTATATGTGTAAAAGACCTTTGCT